ACTATCACCCAATCCTCCTCACATGTTCTGTCCTAATATGTATAACAAACTGCCTCGTTATCACGTTGTTCTTGACCCAGACCTCTCTGCGCTCGACCGCGAACTACCTGCTGTTTAGCCTGGCAATTTCAGATCTAGCTGTGGGACTATTTGGGATACCTATGAACCTTATGTGTGAGATGTTGGGAGGTTGGAACGTATGTCTGTCGACGTACACTGTCAATCGTGTCATCGCGATTTCCAATGTCTACCATATTTTCTGGATAACATTGGAGAAGTACTCTGCGATAGTCTATCCTCTCTGGCATAAGTCTCAGGTCGATCAAAGCAAAGTTAAGAACATTTGCCTGTGTACATGGCTGGGTTCTGTGCTCTTCAGCGTTGTCGAACTGAGTTGGTTAACTCAACACGATGACCCCTATGCCGAATATCCAGATGACATTGAAAGAAAAGAGATAATTTATAATAGTTTTATTTTTACGGCCGTTTTCGTCTTCCCAATGGCAGTCATGGCTTTCGCGTACACTTCAATATTTCTACGAATTCTAAGGCAGCATTCCAACGAATTTCTTAGAAAACACATGCACGGCAAGGAGAGATCATTGCATCCGCGCATTCCACGAAACATAAAAACAGCGCTATTGTTCTTTGCGATTCTTTTGGTATTTATCTTGGGGTGGTTTTGGTGGTTCTTCGACATCCTCCATTTCAATATCCTCCACAATGAGCAGGATTTTGTACCGACTCCGGTGCATAAATTCTTGACCGTGCTTCGCTATAGCACATCTTTTGTCAACCCAATATTGTACACGTTTTTCAAACGGGACTTCAACAAGGCTTTAAGGAAGCTCACAAATCGTTCACGTCTTACGCCGGTGGAACAACAGCAGTCGAGGTTTACGCCTGTCGTCACCGGTAAATGGTAATACTGTCCACTCTAGTTTATATAGTGGAACCGAAGTGTGACGTCACCGCTCTAGCAGAACAGTTTTAAGGCCCATACATTCGTCCACTCAAGAAAATTTCCACGAACAGAAAACTTTCCGAAAATATCATTGTTAAAAGTTGAAAATTTTCAACTTCAAAATTTTTTTCCGACGGAAAATTTGTGTTGGCCAATCACATTTTACAAAATTTTCTGTCTTCGGAAAATTTTCCTGAGTGGAAATGGTCCATTACTCTCCAAATTTGCACCCATCCCTACATTTAAAATATTCCCAGACCACAGATGCGCTTACACTTGCAATTTTTGCTGCGATAATCTTACTCTGATGCATGTAATTAAATTAGTGGATATAAGTTATGAATGTTCAGATGAGCACACATACTATGCAGAATATGATAATTCACCCAGTACTCGTTTACACGCATCAGAAGAAAATCGCCCTGCATAGAACTCGTAGCGAAAATTGCAAGTGCAAACAGGCATTTAAAATTAAAATTGCCACAAGTCGCCCACGCACTGTCACTAGATTAGAGATTTGAAAAAATAAAAACAGGGCGTGGCGACGAGGGAGCTACGACGAACCACGAACCTTCAGCGAAGGGCCTACATTGTTGTCTCATGCATGTTATATACATGACTACGTCTTCCCTATAAACTTCAATATTCATTACAATACCGTAATTAATTGTTATTTGAAACCTTAATTGCTATAATAAAATAATCAGCAAAAATCAGTTATTGATATTGACAGTTGTGCTTGATTCGTGTTATTAACAGTTTAAATAATTTTATCATTGCGTTTATATCAGTATTTAGTTGAAAGAAGTGCGCGGATAGTAAAAAAGTTAATGTTCATGAATCATTTGGCTTTGTCGTAACTTCTATAAGAAAAGCCCTATGTCATGACGTATAGCACTAATGCATTATAAAAATTCATGAGTCAACTTTTCTGTATATTTTTTGGAACAAGCAGAAATTTACCGCGATGATGATGAGCCTGTCTAGATAGATAGATAGATTTTATTTTGACACGCTAACTACGTCAATTAAAAACATTGATTTCCACGAAGGGCGTGTGTTCAAAAGTTATTATATATAAGTGTTGTTATGACTCTTATGGAATCAAATAAAAGAAAATAGAAATAATCTAACTGTTCCAATTGACAAAATTGACAATATAGACAACTAACAAAACATATAGATAACAGTAGACATATCTATATCAGTTAGACTGAGTAGCCTCGCTCTTCATTCAAACTACGGCATGAAGAATACAATATTCTTTTCAGTCTCATGCATGGTCTCAGTCGGTGGCACCAGTCGCCAAAGCAAGCACCTTTCACTTCTGATATCGTCACGTGGGTTCGATTCTCGCTGTGGACTCGTGGGAAAAGACAAGTTTTCGTTGGTATAGGGATGCAACAACCTGAAAATATAAGGAGAATTTCGACGTTTCGAGAGAAGACCCTCTGTAACTCCAGACAAAGGGCCTTCGCTCGAAATGTCGAAATTCTCCTTATATTTTTCAGGTATAGTTACATCCCTACCAACGCCGGAAAGCTTGTTATTGTCAGTGGCACTATACATACACGGCAAAGAGAGTTCAATTAGATTATATCATAGTGAAAAGGATCTGACAACGTTTGTTATCTATACAAAACCGAATTCTCCAACAAATTAAACTACTATGCCAGTAGATTAAAATAGTTAAAACTGCATTATATTTATATACTATATACCTCGACGGTTACTACCCAATATTTAGGTCTGCATGTATCCGTCAAATGCTATACTCCACTCGATCTTATATATTTGGCAAAAGATAATACTTGTATATAGATAATTATTGTAATGTTCGCTGCCTGTAAAATGTATGTAATATATTTGATGTTTCATTACAAATTTTGCGGGGGGAAAACCTTAACTTTCAATTCTTAAAGTTTTACTTTCAATTGTATTATCCGACATGTAAAGACCGGAAATAATAATAACAATATATAGTTATATCGTTTATTTAACCCGGAATGCAGGATATGTATTTAATTACAGCCGATGAGTTCGTTGATCTTCTTGTATATATTAAAGTGCACCGTGTTAACGTTCCCCGTTGATGGAAACTTTCCCGGAGAAAACCCAAGGCATCGGGAAGAGTCTATAATCTCTTCTCATACGAGTCCGGAACGAGGAACGAACCAACGATTTCAGAAGTGCAATTAAAGTTGAAATTTTTAACTTTTCATGCAGCCAGGTTATTCGGACACAAATTTCGATAACTATAAACACCCTTGATATGGAAATTACACGTCTATTCCATCAAAGAGGTAACCAATATACGACCATTGTTTTCCAAACTTACTTGGACCGCCTGCGAGTTCAATTTCTTTGGACTCCTACAAAGTTGGGCGTACGCTATAATTATACTTGCAAAATTAAATATTTCTGTGATAAAACCTATGTTACAATATATTTTTGTTTAATAAGACCTATATGTATGTTACTAAAATATCTAACAGACAACTAAAAACTTAATATTTCTTGATAAAAATGAAAATACCACAGCGGTTTGTTCTTTTCACAATTAATGCTTTCAATACGATCATTTAATGATGTACATGCAAAAAATTTTCGGCAAATTTTAATTTTTAATTGGCTATAACATCCCTCATCAGCGCACCTTAAATATAGTGACAAAAATAAATATAGTTGAAATTTCATGGAGTTTTAAAGTCAGCATTCTAGTGGAGAAAAGATCACAAAAAACCTGGCTATGCCTATATATAGTCAGTTTTTTGTTCAAGATTATTCAAAAAGAGCATCATTCATCATTGTCTTTGGCTACGACTAAAAATAGGCTCGCCGACAACTTTGTATATCTTATAAGATATTATATAATTCAATACAATGCCTACTGACTGTTGTTTAGGCGCAAACAGACAGTACTTGTAATTTTGCCGTGGAAACAAAGCCGTCTTTTGAAGCATCTTTGGCTAGCAATTAGCGTTTCATTGTTCAAAGGTGTGTGCGTGCCACTCAATTTGACAAGCTAAATTAATGAATAGTTTATGGGTTTGTTATTAGATTTGCTACAGTTAACTTTTGGATTAAAATTATTGCTCCTTTAAAAAAGTTTGCTATATAGATGAATTTAGTAGTGAAGACTTAAAATGTAGTTCCTTATAAAGTTTCACATTCATGAAAACATTTCCCTTCAATCTCATTGTTCCCCATCTCACTTTAATGTATCTGTTTATTGAAAAGACCGATACTGTAGACGTATAATCAAATCAATCTGATTATTATTTGATTTAATTAAATTTTACGACCAAATCATAAGAATAGTATATTCTCAAAAATGAACCACGACTAATCGAGCCGCATTTCATGGGAAAATTACAGGACACATCCACTTTAAAATTAAGAGAAAATGCCCGTCAGAAACAGAGGAAGCGTCTGTGATTTGACCATGAAGTTCTCTAGTGACGGAAACGATGTCTGCAAAAATTCAAATTAACTTTTGTAAATATTTGCGCGCAATAAAGCATGTTTAATATATAGTTTGGCTCCAATTATGACAGTAGCAGACTTTAATTATTCTTTATTATTGAGTTTTCCTTTTAGCCAAATTGCCCACGCTTTTAACACGCATGCAAAAACTGCGGGTGTGTTAACAAAGCGCCAAATTAGCTAGCGGCGAATTCTTCGTCGGAACCGCCCATTTCGTTGGTAACGAGGGAAGATAAAAGCTGAGCAAGGGCAACAGTTGCGCATTTTGAAATCGGGCTTGCGCGCACACGAAGTTCCAACATTTTCCACTGCAAAAATCATAATCGAAAATTAGAAAGAATCATCAGTCTCTTGGAAAATTAAAGCACTTATCCTAAGAATCTACAAGAAGAATTTCAAAACATCATCCTAAAAAACTTGCGAACGTACATTTTCACAGTGAACCTTGCAAGAACGTAGTGAAAAGTCACCGCATACAGGAAAATCTCAAAAACTGAAAAAATCTCAAATCAACAACAAAGAGAAGGAAAGAGTCTTGATCCCTAAAGCAATGCAGTTTTCTCCAGAGTTCCACGCAGACAGCCGACTGATGTACTATCACCCAACATCACCTCATGTTCTCTGCTCATGTAGCAAATGTTTTCAGAGAAATTATCCAGGTTACGAGAACCTGCACTTCCTACAGAGACAAGAACACGATGCGCGGGAAAGATACATGTACACCGCTCATGGTTTGCCCTTACCATCTTCCGCGGGAATACCTGCGACCTTTGCTCATGCCATAGACGCCAGACATTATTACCCAGCATCTACACTTGCGGCGCAACTGCCACACTATCCGTACGACCGAGATTCTACTGAATACGGTAAGGATAAAGCAAAATTTCCACCTATGTAATTGTCCCCATAGTGGTCCAGAAGGGCCATCACGTACTGGTATTCTCGGACTACAGGTCCAATAACAGCCATCAGTACTTCTCTGTCTTAAAAAAGGAGAGCAGTCTAAAGTGAAATTGGGCGGTATACATCCTTATCACATACCCGGTTCCCATGATGCCACGGGCAATTTATAAATTTGCCGATAACTCTCTAAAATGTATATATATGCTAACTGAACTAAGTAATTAGTAAGCTATAGATATGTTAGTCTGATAGTCTCTTTTCGTTACAGTGGGCTCTTGAAAAGTTTAAAACTTAACTTTAAAAGTTGGAAAACTGCCAAAAATTTTACATGGTTATAGCCGGTTGGCGTAGGTCAAATGGCTGTATTAATATTCTGTCGAGATTTTTAAAAAATAGGTTGCAAGGACGCACACGTCGTTCAACATATGACAAGCTTTAGGGTTCGGTATAGGATTTGGATAAAATCAAACTTTAACACAACATATGATATTTGATATATACTTGTACAAACGAGTACAAAAAGGCATAGAAATTATTAAAGTCGTGGCCTTTCTTGTCATTTTTCTTTGACTGTCAAAGATAAACAGAAAATGCACTTATTGTTAAAATTAATTTGATAATAGGAATTTCATGATTACTTAAAGTTCAATTTTGATCACTTTCGGGAAAACATATTACTTTCACCGCTATTTGGATCTTCTTCACTACAGTACAACTACCTAATGTTTTATGATTTTAATCCACTATTATACAAGAGATTGAAGTTGGTACAGTATACAGACATATTTCGCATTTTTATTGATTTTTTAATTTTAATTTGAAAATAATTTACCCAATAAATTACCGGTATATATAGAGAACACATGTTCTTCAGACGCATGTTGGGTGTGGGATATTTGTAGTTTATATAATTGGAAGAAAAAATATTATAAAAGAATGCGGCGTGAGTTCAATAAATAAATTTCTATTTCGCATGGGTTCTATGTTAGAAGACGATTAGCTGATTTGAAACGTGTGCATAAATTTCTAGGCTTGAATGTATCCTTTGTGTCCTTTTAAAGGAACAAACATTGCGTTAAGACACGTTGCTCATTTTCGTAAGTCTATTGTATTTGCCCAGCTACTGAACAAGATGTGTTTTTCAGCTATACATGTGATTGATATAATTGCTGAATTAAGAGCAATCATCAGCCTGACATTGAATACACTTCCCTCATGCATGAGAGCAAAGCCTGAGAAAGTTTGTGTTTTTGTTCGTCCAAAATTCTGGGCGAAGTAAACCGGTTCTAACCGGATTTTAATGCGCGCGCATTCGTTTTGCATGGAAACCGATGACTAAAATTTGAGCCCGTGCTATACATCCAAAATTAAAACGGCTTGAAGTCTTTAACTTTGTAATCGAAGTTTGGCTAAAAGTAAGTCCGTGGATAAAATAATAAATAATAATAATAAATTTAATGCATATGAATCGCTTAAATTTACTGAAAAGTAAACCTAGGAATTGTAAAAATTCAGGTATAAACTAGCAAATTAGCAATTGTAAAAATACTATATGTAAAAATACTATATCTATTATTAATAACACATTTGAAATTTTTTGTGTTGTTATTGCTATAATTGTACAGCACTGCACGTGCACTCGCCCAGCATGAAAGATATAATTGCATGCGATTGGTTCCGTATTCTTTTTGTTGGCAGGGTACGCTGACACAAAATCCCGGAAAACACATGGTTCATTTTCTCCAGCGCTCTTTTACACTGAGATAATATTAAAGATGACACAATATCGCATGTAGTGAAAGCTAATATTTTACAACACTCATTCGGAATGCAGTGACAATGTAGTACCTGCAAATATTGCTTAAACTCTATTGTATATAGCAAAGTCCAAATATATAGATTATAGTGTACAAAGCATTAAAATAGAATTTTATATATATTTATACAATAATCAATATAATTAAGGACTCGTTCAAACGTGGCCAACATGCTGGGCCAACATCATGGCAACATTGTTGGTCTTGTTTGAACACTATGTTGCATGGGTACTAATTAGAAAATTACTGTAATGATATAACAAAAAAGTGTATTCAAAGCGTATTTGGACAATAAAATGAATGTTGGCTGGTGTTGGAAGATGATAGATTGAGTTCGACTTTGTTTAAAATTTGGACCAACAACGATGTTGGACTCATGGGCTATAAAGAGCTTTAATATATGTAATAGGGATATTTTAACGATCAGGTTACAATGCACTTATAATGTTCAGCAAAGTAGATGTTAGAAGATCAGTTTTGATATTGGATGTTCAAGAGAGTTACAATAGAACTACTTTCATTAAATAATTTTTGTACTAGCATATTTTGTTTTCTGTGTAAAGATAAATAAAGAAAGGTATATGACGTGAGGGAATATATTTTGTAAATTAAAAGAAATCAACTGTGCGGAACTAATGTTCTTTAAGCAACTTTTTGCATATTCAAATGATGATTGAACAGGTAAAATACTCTGATATGCATATATTGGCCAAATATGTGCTAGCCCTCGAGAGTATCCAAAGAAGAGCTTCGAGAATAGCATTGAGTCAGAAACGTGGTGAAATGCCCTACCACGAACGTTGTAACGTATTAAAATGGCGGGACACTTTAGAAAAGCGTAGAGAATATTTTTCTTTGATAGAGTGTTATAAAACAGTTTTTGACCTCAACGGCATGACATTTGGTGATGTCCTGGAATATAGACATAGTAGGAACACTAGATCTAATCATAATTATGTATAGAAGGAGTTCCTTATATAGGATTAACCTCTGGCTGCTCCTGCAAGGCATTAGTGTGTAAACGTCATTGTACCTTGAATAAATTTGTTGATTGATTGATATAGTTCAACTGCATTTATCCCGCAGAACATGCATCATTTGGACGCGCAGTGGAAACTCCGCTTATAATGTACCATCACAGATTAAGTATGACCAGATGTGTAACTTAATAGGACTTCGTGTCCTCAAATTTTCCTAGATGCATGTACACGTCATGCTCACGCCATGTCACTTGCAAGCAAAATGGCGTCCTGGAAAACACGGAAGAGGTTATTTTCGCTGGTCTACTCCAAGTTTGTTTCTAAACCAATCTTGAAGTTTTGACGAAATGTCATTCGGAGGTCGGCGAACCTAACCTTTCCCGAAAAACACGAACTTTTGCACTTTAATGCGGACTTTTTGGATCGAAATTTTTGGATTAAAGTGATCAATGTTGAAACTTGAATGTTTAAAGTTGTTGAAAGTAATTAAAGTTGTAGAAAAAAGGTGTTGAAAGCATTTATGAAAGTAATGACGTATTACCAAATGACAAATTATCACGGGAGCGCCACTTGCTAGGAAGATGGCGACCGTGGGACAACTTTTTTTTCTGAAATTACACATCTGGTCCATACTTAATCTGTGGTGCCATGCATGAAGTATGATGATGATGTTATGAACGCATCCTTACTAGATTAGAGATGGGGAGTCAACCAAAAAGTACTAAATTATAAATGAGCA